CGAGATTTGAGGAGAAGAAGAAGGGTTATGGAGGGGCTTAGAGTTGGGGATTAGGTTTTCATAGCGGCGCTAGGTTAAATGGAGTGGTTTTTTTTTTTTGCGAAACGAGCTGTGTTGTGGTTTCTGAATCGAGGGTAAGTGGGTTTCGGGTGCTGCCGAGGCAGATACCACCAAACCCAAAACCACCCGTCAACCTGCTATAACGGGTTTCGGGTTCCCCATTACCCGTCAACAATCCATTTGACAGGGTTTTAACTGCCAGAAATCGGGGCGGATCCGGGCGGGTACCCGGAATTCGAGTCACATTGCCAAGCCTACTTGTGCGATTAATTCCTCTTGCATGATGTGTAGCATTCACATTGTCACTTATTAGGATGATGGAGGCATAAGATTAACCCACGACCAAATTCACTGTCGTGGTGTGTCATACCCCTAGTCAGCCCCTTTGAGCCATGTTACTTTGGTTGTTCGTGTCTTTAATGAAAAATCACCCTTTTGCATCTCGTAGAAGTTCCATAGAGTGGTTTTTGCATGTTTTCTATTGTTATGCTAAATATTATGTGAGTGTAGGAGTCGTTCTTAAAAAGTTGGGCAGGTGCGTGAAAAAGATAATGAAGGTGGCACGTTGAAACTCTCTAAGTGAGAAAATGAAAAATATGACAATGGAAAAAAATGATAATAAGCAAAAGAGAGATGCCACAAGAATTTTTGAATAGTGCCCATCCAAATAGATTTTCTTAGCAGTCTGGCTTGAAAATACTGATATTGTTACCTCCTTCACTTTTGTGCTCTAAAACCTTAGTTAATGCAGAATAGCGGAGAAAGAATGTCATTGGGTTGTTTGAATGTCAATTTGTTGGGTTTAGAACTGTGGAACCTTGTGTCTTGGAGTTTTCCACTACCTAAAAATTATGTTCCCCATGTCCGAGACCCTAGCTAGTCATCAAAACCCGTGTCTAAGACTTCCTAACTAGTTAGTGGTGACATCCGACATGTGAACTCTAGCATTTAGAGGTTGTCATCATGGTGAAGAGACGTTAGGGATTGAGAGTATGAGATGCACACATCTTGCATTAAATTTCGTCCTAACCCCACTCTGATCCGCGCCCAGCCTATTGCCTCCCTCGACTCTACAGCCCCTCGCTCAACTGTCGCTAACGTACGACGCCGCTTTCGTGCTATTGCGGTCACCTTTGTTAGATATTCCCCACCTCCTCTTTCTACGCCATTTGACGACATTCCTCGCGTAGCCGTCGTCTCCACTTTTACTCAGCAAGCTTTTTCCCGGTTCCGGAGATGGCATGTTGGTGAGCTCCGTCGACGAGCCATGGGATTCTTTGTTTCCCTCCGCCTCAGCTCTCCTCTAGTCTCTTCTCACCATTTCTCTCACCTGGTAAGTCCCCCTGTTTGGTTCCCGAGAAAAAAACTTCAAAAGTGCAATTCACATTTCGATTAGGGTATCGGAGAGGCAATTTCATTTTCCTTCTGTTACAGTTGTTCTCAGGAGAATCCAGCTTGAAGCAGAAGAATCGAGTACGAGCTATTCTAGTTGTGAGGACGAAGACTGGTTCTGTGAAGGCGGTGTTGGACAGCGGGAAGCCGAGCGTCAATGGCTGGAGCGCGGCGGAGAGGATTCTTCTGGAGAGACTGTACGTACAGGAGCAGGGGAGACTCAAAGAACGGACGAACAGAGATTCCGATTCGGGGCTCTCCAACGGTGCGAATCTGGAGATCTTGGAATCTGATCTCATCGCCGTGCTGGCAGCTCAGACGAAGAAGGAACTGGACCTTCACTATGCGGAAAGCAAGGTGGAGGCGAAACATGGCGAGCTCGACCGTGCTAGGAAAGAATTATCGTTACGAGAAGAGGAAATCGTTGTAGTTTCTGGTAAGTACGAGAGGCTAGAAGCAGAGCTGAAGCAGTCGAATCTTGATTTGGCCTCTACAGCAAAGCAGATTGAAGATTTGAGGTTCGAACTCCATGAGAGGGACCGCCAGGTCTCTGCAACTCGTTATGTACTGTCGTTGAAAGAAGGTGAAATGGTGAAAATGGAGAGAGAATTGGTGGAAAAGAGTCGGGAGTTTGAGAAGCTCGATGTGGCATTCCAAACCAAGGTTGAACTGCTTAATGAAGCCAATTCAGTGATCGAGGATCACGAATCTCAGATTCAAGAGCTCAGGAATGGGATTCAGGAGAAAGAGAAAGAGCTGGAAACTTCTGAGTCCTTGAGGAAACTGGAACAGGAGAAGCTGGATATTGCAGAGGCTAGGGGTGGGAATCGGTCGGTAAACAGTAAATTGTTTACCGAATTTACTGGTTTTGGTATACTGACGCTGGCAAAACTGTTTACCGTTTACCGAAACCGATTTGTAACTGGTTTACCAATTACCGAATTACCGGTAAACGGTTACAAACCGGTTTACCGAATTACCGCAAGGGGCGACATGGGGCGATTTTTTGGTTCGTTTTACCGAACATTTACCGAAACCAAATTTCTGTTAGTGGGGAAGATGTTGTAATATTTTGATTTTTCTGAGTTTTTTTTCATTTTTGTAATTAATAATTCATAACATTTTTTAGGCCTATACTTACTTACATTCATGTATCATTTGTAACATTTGTAACTCTTATTTATAATATTTTTCTTCATGATGTATGTAATATTTGTGAATAATGAAGTTTATGTTATATGTTAATGCCATAACTTATAAATTAGGGTATAGGAATTGGGGGCCAAATAAAACGACGTCGTTTTGGTGTTCGGTATCGGTTTACCGATTTACTGTCGGTATTTACCGATACCGAATTCGGTAAACCGACACACCCCATCCCCCGCTCGATCGCCGATACCGTCGATAAACGGTTCGGTAAAACGGTAAACCGTTTACCGGCGTACCGAATCCCACCCCTAGCAGAGGCTAATCTGAAGAAGCAGACGATGGAATGGTTGTTGGCAGAGCAAGAATTGAAGAAGCTATCTGCTAAAGCATCAAATCAGCTGGTGGAAACCAATGGAATCCTAGAGGATTACAGAAGAGTCAAGCTGCTTCTCGTGACTGTAAGATCGGAGCTCATCTCTTCACAGAAGTCGTTAGCATTTTCCTGGAAGCAAAAGGGGGAACAGGAGTTGGTCTTGATAAGTCAGCTGGCAGAGCTAGAGGAAGAGAGATTGGGTCTCTCATCATACGTTACCAGGTTGAGAGACGCAAGAAGAGAAGTCGAGAATGAACATGCAAAGATCCAGGTTGCAGAGGCAAGGAACAAGGAGCTCGAACGAGACTTGGCACTGGAGAAGGAGATCGTGGAAGAGTTGAGGGAATCACTAAGAAATGAGAAGTCCAGCCTGGAACGAGCAACCCAAGAGATGCCAATAGTGACAGAAGCTAAAGAGTTGGAACTCACAGAAGCTAAGGTAGAAATCCAGCGTTTGGGATCCAAGAGAGAATCTCTTTTGGTTGTTTTGGAGGAGAAAGATTTGCAGCTGGCGAATGCGAAGGAAAAACTGAATGAAGTAAACCATGAGGTTTCAGAGCTAAAGAAGGTGTTGAGCAGTAAAGAAACCCAGCTTCTTCAAGCAACTACCCTGCCGAAGGAAAAAGAAGAACACGTGCAGAATATGCAGAACGAGCTGGACAATACCAGGTCGAAAATAGCCAAAGCAGGAATTGTCACAGAAAGGATTGTGGACTTCACCAATAACCTTGTGCTCTCAGATAGACAGACTAGTGATTTCGTGATACCAAACAGACAGCTTGAGAGCGAACTCGACTCGCCTAGGGAGAGCTCGAGGAAGATGGAAATGGAGCTTCTGGCATTGGAGAGAGATCTGATTGTGAAGGAGGAGGAGTTGAAGACAGTTCTTGAGAGATTGAATGAGAGCGATGAGGAGCTGAGAAGGGTGAAGGAAGAGATGGTTGTAGATGGTATTGATCTGAAGAAGCTCTATGCAATGGCACAAGAGAGGATAGGCGACAAGACCATGGGCGAGCTGGCAATTGAGAAGCTGCAATTGGAAGCCGCGCAGCTAGAAGTGGAAGTTGCAACTGTCGCAATGCAGAAGCTTGTGGAGATGAGTGGACAGATAGCGGAGAGAGCCGAAGCTGATAACGCCATCAGAGGGATCTTTCATGAAGATGATACTCAGCTGAAGGAGATTATTCGTTTCTCTGATCTAACGGAGCGGCTGGCGAAAGATGCTGGGGTTGGTGGTAGTGACTATATAAACTTCAATTCATGCAAATCAAATGTCTGAAACTTTGAAATTTGTACATATATTGAGAGATTGAACAGTTTTTTTTATACACTGTCTGTCGAGCTGTATTAGAGACTCAAGGACTGCAGAAATAAGAGAAATTAGGGGGTCTGTTTTGATATTTCTAAGGTGCTATTTTATTCAAACATTAAAGATAAAAAAAGCAAGTGGAATAAGGTAAATCATTAGCGAGAATCCAATAATATTTAGCTGTCCAAGGGAGAAGTGGATAAGCAGAAAACTGCATAAGTAGAGTGGCAGTTGAGTGCTTGTTAACCACAAGATATACAGCAACAGTATGACCAAAAGGTTGTGGAGATGCCATTACTTAGTACGTTAAGCTAAAGGTGGCATGTACATGTAGAACAAACAAGTTTTGGCGGGAAGAATCACGGTATACCGGGAAGGACCTGCGATGATATTTGCCACCGGGCGGGGAAGCCATTTGGAGCTGTTGTTGTTGCTGCTGCTGACATCACCACTGGATGGTCCATCCGCATTCTAAGGATTTCTTAAGATCACACCACACTCTCCCTTCTACACCTTTGACCTTCTGTCGATGCGAAATCCAACCTTCATGGCTGTGAACAGTCCCAATGCTATCAGGAGAGGCCTCACTGCCCAATGGAAGTCCTCGAGGTGCTGGTACTTATTCACTATTCCTTGGCAGTTGCTTAAAGAAACAGTTTCCATTTCAGCTGGATCAGCATGGCATGTGGCATTTTCCTCTCGGCCGAAAGTCAACCTTCATGGAAACTTCACCACCAGGCAGCCATTGGGAAGAATCCACTGGATCTTCCCCGCAGCCCAGACCCCACCTGTGGTACTACGAGGCCATTCGAATTTTGGACTTAGGACGTTTGCTGTTAGCCTCACGAACTGACCCACGAAGTAGGATTCTGCCATCTGAAGCTGTGATGAATTCCCCTTCCAGAAAGTGTCCAGTCCTATAAAGCCAACAGAGACTCTGCCATCCCGGGTTATTGAATGCAGAATACCGACAGTGGAGTGGTGGTTCATTTCTCCTTCCTTGAGTCGAACCCAATCACCCGCAGCCAACCCAAAGCTGACCCGCTCGAGGGTTGAATCCGGAACCCTCAGAGGGTCGTGGATGCCATGTACCCTAACCAGCATGAATCCATCTTGTTCTGTACCCACCACTGTTCCTTCAGGGACCTCCATGTTTTCTGGTTTGCATGAGTAGCACGGCTTTCGAGATCTCACCACGTCTCATATTTGAAGATGATCTTTGGAGACAAACCAATCAGTGCAGCCAGTACCACTTGATGATTCTTTTGAAATCATAATGCTCTCCAGTCCGGTCCCCATCATCACCATGTACTGCATTTCGAGAACTACACAAAAGGTTTTTTTGGTGAAAGTTTTAACAATAACAATAACAATCATCCAACAATGACTAAGATGCAACATATAACTTGCCTTCTGAATACATACAGTATGTCAGTCATCAAAGGACGATGCTTGAAATCATACTCGAAGCAGCCGTGGAGAATGTTCTCAACTGGAGGCGGAAGGCCCTCAGGGATGGTGGGTTTCTTATGCTTCTTAACCACCAAATCATAAATTTCTTCAACAGATCTTCCACACCATGGCTGAACACCTGTCAACATCTCCACAATGCTGCATCCAAACCCCCAAGAGTCTATCTCTAGCGCTAGGGGACCTCTTACTTTTGATTGCTACTGTTCAGGAGCCATGTAATTAGGCGTCCCAAGCCGGCGACACATATCTGAGTTGGACGATGGGATTCCAAGAATCATGTAAGGAATCCTAATGTCGCCAAGAACAGCTTCATCATTTTTATTGATGAGGAAGTTCGAAGGCTTGACAATAAGTACTAGGACATCTTTCGCATGAAGCTCTGTGATCCCATGAGCTAACTGCATCCCATACCTGCAAGCAATCACCATTAACATATGTATTCCCGTATGCTGCATTAAGGTGGGAAGATTAACAATTGACTAGAGTCTGGGATTCAGGTTACCTTAAAACATCGGTTAGTGGAAGCTTCCCTCCTTTACGGAAAGCTAATTTGTCTCCAACAGACCCTTCATAAAACTTCATAACCAAACATATCTACAAAACGATGTAGAAGTATGAAACATTATTCACCAGCCAAACAATCCCAAAACAAGAAACAAAGTATCAATCCTCACTTTGCCATTCAGAACTGAAATCCCACGCAGAGAAGCCACTCCTTGCAACCCTTCCCGCTTCACAAACAAGTCATTGAACTTATCCAGCAGAGTTCTCATGTGATCCTCCTTCACCAGGTACAGCATCTTGACAGCAACTTTGCCGGACTGATCGTAACCTTCACCAGACTGTTGATGGGTAGCCAGCTAAACATCACCAAAAGGACCCCTCCCAATTCTCTGCCTAAGTTTCAAAGTCCTCGGGTCGATCCAAGGAGTTGACTGACTCGCCGAGACCACCACGGTCCTAAGGTGGTCCGGATCACCTTCGTAGAGCTCATACTCGAAACACACAGGGTGAGCAGGCACAACTTTTTCAGCCATTCTCTCTGCACCATCCATCAAAATTCAAAACATATATAATCACACCAAATCGTCTCTAGGGCATAATACCCACAAGAACATAGGGCTTCTAACAGCATTCAAACATCAAGCATAAACATACGCATGATATTGATTCAAACTCAATGCAGTAACGAAGCAATTAAACAACACAAGCAGAAATTCATGCTCCCACTCATCGGCGGATCCAGGGGAGGGCCAACCTGGGCCCGGGCCCAGCCCTCCTTTGGGTCTAACACTTGTACAGAGCCCCGCTCCTCCTCTGTTTGCCGAGTGATAATCGGGCTGGCCCAGTCCTCTTATCTCATTTGTGTGTAAGTTAATAGACTGTCCTTTGAGAATACAGTTGGGTAGTTTTTGTTTATTGAAGAAATTTTATCGTTGGGTAAAGTGTTTTTGTTAGTGGACTATTAAAACAAAAGGGAAGTTGGGGTAAAAATAAAAAGTGGGCTTTAGTAGTGTTTGTTAATTCTTGGTTGAAAGCCCACTCATTTCTACTTGGTAAAAAACATAAGTAGGACACATAGTCTTAGAAATGAAACATATATGTTTGTTCGTTTGATTATGATATCGAAATTAGAGATAGAAGGTTAATTCGAAACTTGAAAGTATATAATTGTTGTGATATTTGATTATGCATATTTGAAGATACTTTATAATAGCATATTCTCAAGCACCAAATAAAAGGCAAAAACGACCTTGTTTTCTTATTATCGGTTGATTCGTATAGTTTTGATTTTGTCCGTTTCAACAGCTACTACATATATGACCTTTTCATTAATGGAACATGTGAAAACTAATTTGCGCAATAAAATATGCGATAATGCGATGAATTTCTTGTCGAATCCTTAACTATTTTCTTTGAGAGAGAGTATGTTATTGGTATGGATGAAAACTTCGTTATTGATGAATTTGCTAAACTAAAAGAATGTCGTGTACAATTGACGTTATAATAAAAATCATAGTTATTATTAAATATTTGTGTTTACAGTATCTAATTTTTTATTCAAATGCGGCCCAGTGCTCTACTAAATCCTGAATCCGCCGCTGCTCCCACTCCATTTCCCCAGTTGAATCTACACCAACTTCAACGCAACAAAACGCTTCGGTTTTCCCCCCAAATGAGCAGAATATTCCGAGCAACCAAACAAGTAGCTCGGGGAAGTGAGGAGGCGGGAATTCAAAAGAGAATCGAAGAAGTTCGTTACCTGAGCAGGGGAAGTAATAGAGAGAGGGGAGAAGGAAGCTCGACGAATTAGAGGGCGCGGGGAAGCAGAGAAAAAGAGGCCGATAGCGGCGGGGAATTTGAAGAAGCTACCTAAAGGGGGCGAGAGGAGGGAAGGAAGAAGAAGACGAAATAGAGGCTAAGCGGAGGTTGATTGAGGAAGAAAATAGAGGAGTTTTCCCGCAAGTAAAGGAGACAGCAAGGACGAGTGAAGAAGGGATCGAGTCGAGTGAGAAAGGGAGAAGAGAAGAGAAGAGAATGAGAGATGGGAATAAAGACGGGCAGCTGAACTGAGCTTTCAAGTGGCCAGTGTTGGGACTTGGGAAGGAGAGAGAGATGCTATGGTGCGAAGTGGTGCAGGATATGGAGGAGGAATGGGACGATTGTGCGTTTCCGTAAACTTGAAAATGATAGCGGTGATCGGCAAACGGCGACGTTCTTTTATCTACTTTTTAGTTTTTTTCTGTGCTAGTGGTAAGATAATATTGGCGGTTGTGCAAAACTTATATAATTTTCTCGGATGGAGTCATGGGTGTGGTGAAATCTTTCCAAATCATATCGAATTGTTTTTGTGGTCAATTCAAATTCCATGGTAAATTTTGTGGGTTTACTTGTGAATCAAATTGTTAAGCAGTTCGTGATTTGTGGTATGGAGAGACCGAAAATGTAACTCCTGCGGTTCAAAATAACAAACCACTAAAATCTTATTTGAAAGGTCATCTTAGTCTTCCGAATAGATTAGTAAAGGTCAAGAGATCCCTCACCACACGTAGGGATGGCAATTTCAACTTGACCCGTTTTACCCGACATGTTTGATCTGTTTTGGGGCCGGCATGGGTACTCTCATCGATCCGACAGGCCCTGACAGCCCATTCTCTACTCGTTCTTGCCTAAATTACATGCAATCTTAGTCAAAGTACTTAGGATTTTTCTTTTATTACATCATAATTTAGCTATAATAAAGTTGTAAATTAGTGAAAAACTCAATTCTCTAATAATTTAACTACATTTATCATAATATTATTTGTTTTCTTGGTATTATAATAACAATAACGAATATTTCTAATATTTTTCATATAAATGACATACCCATTGGGTCGACCTGCCCCGATCTGTGACCCGTGATAAATTACCTAACGTATACCCGACCTGCCACGGAACGGGTCTGAATACCAAGAAACCCTCCTTGTACCTGCCCATTGCCATTCCTAAACACACGAGCAACCCAGCGTCGAACAACGTCGAACCCTCTTGCAAGTTGCAACCCATTCTCGCCGCCTTCCCCAACTTCCTCGTTCCTCTTGCTACTTGTTCTCTTTACCTTCATCAGCTTCTCGTTCCCTCTCGACGATCCCTCTCACAATTTGTTTTCGTTACCCTCTCCCAGCTTCTGGATCCCTCTCATCGTCAATTGTTAAGTAAGTTGCCTGATTCCTTTATTTGATTTTATGTTTACTTGTAATCTAGGTTTATCTCGCGCATTCAGATCTAGAGATTCAAACTACAATTCTTTTAACGATCCCCAAATTATTGAATATCAATCAATATAAAGCCAAATATCACTACAAACCCTTGACAATCTAGTAATTAACAAGAGGAAAAGGTTGGGGTGATAACACCTTTTTTTTAGTATGGTGCTCATACTAAGCCCAGCTAATAAAAATATTTTGGTTTTGATAACTTATTTATTTCAGCATAATTAATACGGATTTGTAACAGGAGCGGAACGCTTATCATTATTAAAAATTAAGGTGCACATGGGTGTAGAGTTGTTCATTAGTTCCGCGTCTCGCGCATCACCCTCAATTATTATGAATCAGTCCACAAACACAAATACCAGAAACACAACAAACACACCATAAAATAACATAAAGCGGACCTAAAGCATATCATAAAGCAAACCAAAAACTCACCACATAACAAAATTCATAAAGTATACAAGATAACTCAAAGCAGATCACAAGTTTGTTAAAGCAGACTCGAAACCTCAGAAAACATATCACAAGTTTATTAAAGCATATCAGGAATCTGACAAAGCCGACCACGAGTTCCATGAAACTCACTAAAAACCTCATAAAGTCGAGCACAAGTTCCATAAAACATATCATAAACCTAGCAATGCATACCACGAATTCGTTAAAGTAGACCATGAACTTCATAAAGCAAACCACAAATTTCCTAAAACACACATAACACCTCGTAAACTAGGCTACAAATTTCGTAAAATAGGCCAGAAACCTTCTATAGTATATCACAAGTTTATTAAAACATATTAGAAACCTCATAAAACATATCACAAATTTCTTAAAGCAGACGAGAAACCTCCTAAAATTGGACATATTTGTAAAATTAAAAAAGTTTAGATACCAAAAGGTAATTTATAAAAGATTTACATACTAAAATATAATTTTATATCAATATTTTGTAAAAAAAAAGGCTCTAAATCATAAAATTTATTAAGTACAATCACTAAAATGTAATTTACATATGAATCCAAATGCATAGAACAGGGAATCAACTATTATAAATTACTAGATCTCGGTCGGTCGGTTAGCCGAATACATTTCATTATTTGATGGAAAGATGTTGTATTTGATATCATAAAATAGTAAATATTATCTAACTACTAAAAAGTCAAAAATTGATGTGAAACATAATTTTCACTTAGTAGAGTGTATCTCATTCAAGCCATGAACATTATCAGCCATTCACTCGCTCTTGAAATTTGTATTTCCCTCATCAAACATGCTTTTCCTTTTTCTCAAATTAAATATTTGTAATTATCCATATAATTTTTTACTTGAACCTGAATTTATAAGCTAGGAGCAATGAGATACAATATTTAGTCCAACACTATATATTTTAGTGCAACTTGAAGTTAAAATAACGGAAGAGTAAATATAATATTACCTAACGGGTGTTGTCATTAATGTTGTTACAGATTCTCATAAAATACTCGTCATATCATTTGTAAAATCAATTTTGGTGGAGATTGATAGTCGGGTTTGATCTCATCAGAGATCGTAATACATCTCCATCACTTTCTTCGCAAAATCAGTTATTATGAAATCATAACTTGTTACTGACTCTCCAAATTTATAATACACTTGGTAAGCTTATTATAACTTACTATTAGGCTAAGCTCCTTTTAGCAATCCACAAAGTTAGTAAATACTCTGTTTAATACACGTATATGTATCCATACGTATTTTATTCGTTTAAAACTTCAGTATCTATATTATTGTAAAGCCATTTCATTTTTTCCTGTTCATTTGATGGCTTCCGTACTATACACGTACCCGTATAACACATTTAATATCCGTATTTAATGAATTAAATTGTCAAATTTACTGTTATTTATATATTTAATTATAAAAATAATTAATTTTACATATTTATGACAATAAACGTACTATTAAACATAACATCAGCTTAAAGACGACATAAAATACCCGTACGTACTTTATACGTAATTTTCTCATACCGTAGTTTACTAACTATATCTACGATTGTTGTTGCCTCGGTTCTAAAGAGTCGAGACAACCTACAGTTCCATCTTTGTGGCTTCCCATCAATCTAGGCAATGATGGAGAGGCCAACTGAGTAACTAGCGACAATCGCCAAGCTAATGGAGCACTAACTCTAAGGGGTCGTTTGGAAGTTGTGATTGTTAGAGTTGTGTTTGTTGAATACATGTATTGTGCACAATACAATGTTTGGAGTGTCAAAGTGTAAAACAATGCATGCATTATTTTAGGTAGGTCCCACCAACAACACAAAAAATGATGCATTATAAAATCTTAACTAAAAATTGAGATTGTTGTGATTGTTGTTTTTAGATTTGTGTCAACATTTTCTTTCCATTTATATCCTTAATAGTTTTTGTCTTATACTAAAAGTTGAGGGTAAATATGACATTTTCCCGTAAAAGTAATTTTATGTAAATCAATGTATAAAGTAGAATCTCAACAACTAAACAATGTATTGTTAAAATGCATCCATTGTATCAATACATGCTACCCCAAGTCAAACTCCATCCATGGTGGGATGGGATGGGATGCGATGGAAGCCTTATTCCTTTTGCACTTCCGCTTACACAACTCATCTCATTCTATCAATTACTACAAATTAGGGTATAGCTTACATCCAAGCAAAACAGAAAAATTGTATTCAACATTGTGGGGATCTGCAAAACCAGAATTCGAATCGTCACGATTTGACATACCCAGGAATGACCTTCTTCACAATATCATCACTGAGGGCGCCAATCTGGGCATCCAACGACACGATCGTCTCTTCCTTCTGCTTCTCCAGCTTCGCCAGCGCCTCCTGGAGCTCCCCTTCCACTTTCTTCCTCCCTTCCTTGAGCTTCTCCTCCAGCTCCTCCTGCGTCTCCTTCTTCATCTTGTTCAGCGCCGCCGAGATCTCCGCCCGCGCCGCCCTCATCACCGCCGCCGCCTGCTCCTCCAGCTGCTTCACCTCGCTCGACGTGTCCTTCACGCTGTTCAGCTTCTCCTTGATGGCGGCGTCCCTCTCGTCCATGAACTTCCCGAGCGGGGAGTAGTAGACCTTGTCGAGCCCCACCATGAGGAGCAGGAACTGCGCCATCATGATCGGGAGGGTGAGGTCGAAGTCGAACAGAGCGGCCTTCTCGATCTCCGCGGCAAGAGACGGCGGAGCGAAGGCGGCGGCGGAGAGGGAGATTGTGGCCAGGAGGGAGGCGGGTTTGAAGGCGGCGGAGGTGATTTGAGATTGGGCCGATTTGTTGTTTGTGTTGTTGATTGGGAGGGAGAATTTGGGGAGTTTTGGATTGGCGGCGGCGGTGGGAGGAGAGTAGAGCAAGGGCTTGGAGGAGGCCATGATCATGTTAGCCATGGCTGATTGCCGGAGGAGACACCAATTGGTCGGCGATTTTTGGCTGGATAGAGAAGAAATTGGTTTGGTTGTTCTGTGGAGTGTAGAAATGAAATTGGGGAGGAGATTTGGAAATGAAATGTGGTGAGGAGAAGGCGAAGGGCTATCTCATTATCCGCCCGCCACAGATTTTGAGGAGAAGCTTCTTCGGCTTCTCTAATGAAAGCCCGGCCCATTTCTAAAACTTGGATATTAGAGGCAGAGGGTGGATGCTTGCTTGCATTATTGATTAGACGAAGTTGCTCCATCACTCGCGCGACGATTTTAGCCGTCATCAGTGGCGTCGAACATATTTGAGATGGAAGGTGTGGATTTCGTAGTGACACAATCTCTTCTTTCTGCAACCAGAGTGTGCAATCATCAATACACCAACCAACTTAATCTTGTGGTATCGTTTTATATTTTGAGTGAACTCTCTTGTCACGTATTAAGCGGCAAAACACTCGATTTTGAGTTATTGACGTCATGTTTGTTGTATTCACGTCATATTTGTTTCATTCGCGTCATATTTGCGTTATTTATGTAAGCGTGTTGATTATTCACGCAACCAATATTGTTAGGTCTCGCAATCTGATGTTCATTCACGCATATTGTTAATTATTCATGTCATTGTAAACTAAAATTATAAACTTTGAAATATATCAAAATGGATGTCATTGTGTAGATTATGATCAATGTAAGATATTTTACAGTTTAATTGGTAATTCAAATTTAATTCCATAAAATATAACTAATACAAATTATTAGAAGAAAATGTCTGAATTTCCATTTACATGAAAAACTTACACTCTTACGTAAATCAATATAGTATTACGACGTGAATGAGCATAAAATGACGTGAATGAGCACAAAATGGCGTAAATGAGCTGCCTTTAGCTTTTTTGTCATAACAAGAGATGATTTCCTTATACGTTATTGAGAGGTTTTATATTGAGAGGTGCGACTTACTCGCATTTATCGAGAATTGATACTTTGGGGTCAGGGGGTAAGGGATGAAGGAATACTTTTACCATTATAGTCCAAAATTTCTGTCCAAAATTTTCTACAAGGATATGGCCTGGCTTCTATACAACTTTTAGTACAGACACTTTTCTTTTGTAATCCACCTTTCAAATGGGTATATAGACTGATCATGGTTTAGTAATTGTTGGGGGAACGTGATTGTTAACACCGATTACCACAAAACTGGACCATGTTTTTGAACCCGCAGAAGAAGCCACATCTGTATCTCAAGGGAGATACCATAAACTTTCTCTTCTTCTCCCTTGGTGAAAGCCTCGAGTAAGGGAACCATGGACTCGTTAAGCTCGGGTCGTTGATGACTTCTTGAAGTTCAATCATCCCCAGATGGCTGTTGTCCTTGTGACAATACGTTCCATTCTCCAGTTCACTCAAACAGTCATCATCATCAGCATTAAGCTCTATTTCTGCAGCAGCAGCTGCTCTTCTTGGTGCTGTTATCGAACTAAAGATCACCAGTCACCGGGGTGAAAACATCAATTAGCCTAATACATTACCAAAAGTTCTAAACTGTTGAATTCCACTATCACAACCTGATGACCTAATTACATGACTCTATTCTCAGAATGCCGCTCAGATTCTAACTCGCTTGAGTCTCCTTATTTATGCAGCTTGCTCAGGCATGAACCGGAACAGTTTTTTATTTTTTTATTTTGTACAGAATCACAAGTACCAGCATTATCAAACGACAACGGAAGTTCATAAAGGAGGATAAAGAGCATACATTTTGTTTCTTTCTGAACTTAATATCCCTCTAAAGGAGCCTTTCTTTGTGAAGCTGCAGCTGGTTGATAGATGCCGGATGAATTGGAGCTGCAGATACAGAAGAAGAGTTACCACAAGAAGTTGGAAGTATATGCATGCACGACAAGCAATCATACCCAGGGGAACCATACAAAAGATGCATTCTCCAAACATCTAATCAACATAACGAAACGTCATGTATCTGATTTTGGCATCCAGCCTTCACACCATTTCTGGAGAACTAGCAGATAACAACAGATGGAAGCATTCTGGTGCAAATTACTGATAACCCAGAACTCAAGAAAATGCACCATTGCACCTTATTGAGATCAAAACAATCACCTTTTTTCTATACCAAACAAACTGCATTGAAGAACCAGAAGCATGTAACTATCACATGTTTGCTCAAAATATGAAACGAACCCCCGAAGCATCACTTCAAAGTGGACAAAAAGTATAAAAAATTGGGCATGCCCTGATCAAGTTCTTTCATGGTACAAGTATAAATCATAAATATACAATCATCTCTTACAAACTTGCCAATCTAAAGAACTCCATTGTTCATGAACATGACCAATTGAAGAGTACCTACCACCAGCAAAAACCAGCATGCAATTATGTCCAATGAAACAGAAAGGTTAACATGGCGACAAACCTGATCACCCTCCATAATCCCAAAACAGCTAATGGAGTCAGCTTCAGAGAGTAGCTTTTGGCCATGAAAACCTAAGCAGAAATGCCCCCATACATGCCGCCTGCGTTGAACACATACCCTTTTACAAAACCGGCATCGATTCCATCAATCCTATACCAATTCTCAGCTTCCATTCTCCGTGTAAAATGTGGCAATGAAGAAACATACCATGAGATTTTGCCCGGGCCCTTCTGCGGCATGTAGCTGAAGGCAGCCTCCACCGCCTGCTTCAATTCACCAACCGTAGCAAGATGCTTAACTTGGATATCTGCAGTGCAAATCAATCAAAACCCATCTCTTTCACAAGATTAATTCGAGCTAGCTAGTAGGATCGAATAAGGAAATTTCAGTAACCTAACAGAAGAAGGGCAGGGGAGGCGGGGGGTGGAACTTACCGAAGCAGGAGCCGTCGAGCTTGAGAACAGAGAGCGTAATCGGCCTCGCCGGAAGCTTACTGTACGAAAAGCTTCCTTGATTGGAGAAGCCATACAAGGCAAGGAACGGCAAGGAATTGGACTGGTGGTGAAGAAACTCCGTCACAGGATCACCGCCAAAATTGCCAATGTCAATCCTGGTGTCAACGAGACTCATCTTTGTTTCGAAATTTTACAACCTCCGATGTCGTTCGGCGAAGCTCCCAGCTGGTAGAGAGAAAGGATAGTGAACACGCGCGGGGAAAAGGATGGTTGAATTGCACAGTGCATGTGTGACAATAATTAGGGTTCCGCAGCTCTGTTCTTCTTCCTTCTTGTTCAATTCTTCTTTTCTTTTGGTTATCTCTGCAACTGAAATAGAGAGCTGGCGCCATGGCAAGAATTTGAAGAGGAGAGAGAGGGAAAAAGAAGAGCTTGCTAGTTTTCTGGATCTGTTCGGAAGGGAGGACAGATGGATGGAACGGGATAACGTTTTTTGCGTCCGTTGACCAGATCGTCGTTATTTCTTCTCCTTTTCCAACTCCCGCTGCCTTTTGTAGGGAGAGAGAGAAATGTGCAAAACAAACAACTCTTTAGCCTAGATTTTTAGGCTGCTTGATGTTCTATCCAAATGTTCATCTAACTAAACTGGTTTGCTGTTTTGTGTAATTTGTAGTTAGACCTGGCAATCGACCAAACGGGTTATCACGAGTCGGGTCATGTTGGGTTGGCAAATTTTGGGGAAATATTGATCCAATTTATTCGGTTTTGGATCGAGTTTCGAGTCATTTTGATTATGAGCGTTCTCATAAATAATATCAAACATGCTTTATAAATAAGTTTTATAAAACAGAAATTTCACATATGCATGATAATAGTTTACTTAAGCACATGTCGGTTAACAAATGCTCAAATCCCTCCATGCTAATGAAAAGAAATAAAGATTGCACAAATCATAAAAAAACAATCACGAAAGTAATACTACTACCAGAAACAAATGATGTTTGATTATCCTTACACTCCAAGTCCAAACTTGTCTTTCAAATTCTTAATGTTTTTTTGACCCGCTAACCCACCCAACCTGACAAAATAAATTACGGGTTAATCGGGTCCGGGTCGTTCGAATTTCGAGTTATAAAAACTTCAACCCATTTTTATTTTTCCTACAGATTCAAGTCGGGTCAACGGATTCAGTCGTTTTCAATTTTTGCATTGCTTTTGATTTTATATATGTTATCTTCATTTGCGTAAAATATGATTCTTCATTAAAAATACAATAAAAAAGTATGACTCCCCAGTAAATCGCATTTGATGAATCGACTTGACACATTTTAAATTTGCCATCAATCTTTAGAGAATGCTCTGATTATAACATGCAGGAGATGAAAATCTCAGCTACATGTGTGGTGCTACACAATACTTTGACAGATGAACTTGGTGTGTGAGTGATAGAAACCTATTTTCCACAGGTTTCTATTATAATTACCATATCCATGCTAGAGATAATTATTAGGTTAAATAATTACTTGGTTGTTAAGTTTAGGTTTATTGTTAGGTTTTCAGCTATTTTCCTATATAAGTTTACTCTATTATTCTTTTAAGAATCAATCAAGAAAGTTAATACGAAATTATCCCAACCCTAGTCTATCTTTCTCCATCAATCTTGTATCTCTCTATCTCTCTCCAAAGCTTCGGTTGATCTTCCTCAATCCCTAAAATTCTACTCTTCTTCCCCAAATTCTCTTTTAAATCTCTAAATCTCAATCAATTCTCAAATTCCTAACCCAATCGATAGAACCCTAGAAATAGGTTTTTATCATCTGGTATCAGAGCCAGAATGAGTTCATCGAAGTTTTTCGATCCATAATGGGTCCGTCTCAGCCAGCTGTTGCAGCAGTCTCTTGACCTCTACGAACAGGAAGAGCTGGCGAAGACAGCGACCGCGGAAGGCATGGCGGCTGCTGCGACGGCCACACCTGCAAACTCCGGCGACCAACAAAAGTTTCTGACCACCTCTGCAAAGCTGCCTGTCTCACTGACTATGGCAGAACTAGCGGAGCTGCCACAGGATCAGCTGCGAGAACGAGTGCAGCAGAGCATAAATTATTGGAGTCCGGAAGCGATGCGGAGCATAAGAGAAGGCAAAGATGGCACGAACGAAGTCTTGGTAGAGAAGCAGCCGCCGACCATGGTCAAGGATGCGGCAGACAAGATAAACGCCGAGGTTGAGGAGACCGACGTTGATGAGTTCGAATAAGGAGATGTTGTGGCTCCTACCACTGCCATCCCAACCATAATCACCATCACCGAGCAGCTGCAGGCGGACAAAAACGTGCTCGCAGCAAGAGAAGAAGAGAACATGGAGCCAGCTGCCAGCGCAGCCGCTCCAGTCGCGCGTGTAACGACGGCCTCAATTGCAGCGCCAGTCGATGAGAAGGCGAAGAGGGAGGAAGCGGCAGATTGCTGGGTGTCTTTCCCAATTGTCACAGTGGTCGAGATTCAGTCGAGCACAAGTTTGGGATCATCGCTAGCAGGGCTCACTACCGACATTGAGAGGAAAAGAGAAGATGAGGCGGTGATAGTTTTCTGTGTTCATTCGACGACGTTGGAGGTCGTGCCAGCAGCTCAAGTTCCGGCAACGACGACCAGGAGGATGAGACAGGTGGCGAGCACGGCGGCTGACTCGCTATGACACAACACCTAACAATGGCCAAGTGTAACCAATGGAAGGGACTGCAGTATAGTGGCTCAAGTGATAAATATCGAATCCACGGGTCTCTAGAGTTACTATTACTCAGCTTCAGTTTATTATTTAGCAAACCATATTAAGATGAAAGAACTAAAACTACTCTAGCAAACTACAGTTAAAGTTAATCTAATTACAGGTTGGGAACTCACTTAGGTATGATTCCCCCTAGCCACTAGCCAGACTAACGATTGATGATTTCTAACTTGTTTCACTTTCATTCACAATGCGGAGAATCCTTGACTAGACCTTGAGTCTCGACTAAAGGAACAAGGCCCTCTTGAGTCAATTGCCTAGAGGGACGTATCCTTCTCTAGAACAACTGATCAAGGCGTTCTGAACTAGACTCCCTCTATCGAAAGAGGTTCTCAATCGATACAAAGCAGTGAATCAACCCTCGACTAAAGCAATCGATCCACTACTATCAATCTATGGTGCTCTATTGACCTAATCAGGTATTCCCTCTCATAGGATCAAAGCAGAATCAATAATCTTGACTAAAGCAGAATTGAATCATGAAAACATGCATAGATTGAATATGAACTCAAGATTATCAAGTCAGAGCAATCATACAATCATCCAATCAAACAAACATAGCTAGGGTTCCTCAAAACCTAAGTGAAGGGAAGTTACTCCATAGAGAAGAGAGAGACTACAGTAAGAATCTTCAGATGGTCAGTCTTCAAGTCCGGGCTTGTTCCTCGAGCTTCCAAGGCAAAGAAATCCTCCAATTCCACTCCAAAAATGCCCTCAAATCGCCCTCTCTCTCTTTGGTTCGTCCCTAGGGTGTTTAGGATCCAAAACTGAGCTCTCCCTCTGCAAAAAGCACAAAACAGGCTTTTAACAGCCTGCGTTCGCGATCCCCGGTCAAAATACCCGGTAGGGTATTTTAGGTCACGACAGGGGATTTTTTGGTTCACGATAGGGGATTTTTGGGTCACGACCGGGGATTTTAGTTCACGACCGAGGATTTTTGGTTCACGATAGGGGATTTTTGGGAAAATCCCCTATCAAGGCCAAAAATCCCCTACCGGGGATTTTAGCTTCACGATAGGGCCCCCTTCTGTTTCTCAGAGAAGCCCGAAACCAATTTTCCCCTATCTTTGATTCTTCGTTTCTCCCTCGTTCGGACTCCAAATCAGGTGTCGTTTGATCCCAGACGCTCGTATTCTCGTCCTCTTTCTTCTCATGACAAGATTACATGATTATATGCTCACAAACTGGAGTAGAAATCCCTTCTTCTTCAAGTCATACCCGAGTTTCTTCCCCCGAGTCGCCAATTGATCTCCGATTGACTTGAAACTTGCGCCTACGCTTCACTTTATGTGCTAGGACCTGAAATGTGACAAAGGAACACAACCTAGCGTAAAATAGGCCAAAGAAGCAATAATGCAAGCTTAAACGATCAAGAAACAAAAGGGGAAAACATGTGCAAATATCGAGTCATCAAATCCCCCCACACTTAACCGTTTGCTTGTCCCCAAGCAAACCTAACTCAAACCAATGCAGCTCTCCAGACCTCTATAGCAACATGCACCCTCGATCGTTGATAGAGAATTTTCTAGATCATTTAGCAGCTTACGAGGTCAACCGACACACAAGTCATCTCATAGCTTCTTCGGCGAGAACGCTAGTCTCGAGTCGGCATCATGGAAAATAGTGAACAGAGGACAAATGAATCGTGGACAAAGAGACTCTAAAAAAAAAGATCATGGACTCACATTTTTCAAGGTGCTCTTATTTTCTTTTTGAAGACGGTTGGAACCCCTTTTCTTTCTGTTTTGCTTGTTTTCTGTTATTTTTCCTTTTTTTTTCAAGGGTCCCAACCTGCTTTTCAGAAAATGGGGGCTCCCACCTAGCAGAGGTTTTGCGGGAGCCCGGCTCTTACCGGCCATGCCAGGAGCGGGTGTCTCGAGCCTCGTGCGGGGGAAAGACATGTAAGGGGGCTGGAGGTAGTAGGGGAAAATTGGGAACGAATTCCCGTCTCCCCTTACACACTTTCGCCCTATTCGCACGGGAGACGTTATTTTAAAGCACATTTTCGAGCACCTGTTAAACTCAAAACATGAAACAAGAGTCTATGACAGGTAGAGAGTCCACAACACCACACAATTCAGGGGGTCCTAAGATCACTAATTCACTCAATCAACCAACACAATATGAAGAAGAAATGAGACTTCTTAAATGCATCAACATCCTCCATAGTGCTACACTACCTCCCTAGGTTGCATATTACTATAAAGACTGTCAATTCAAAACATACTGAGCAGGCAATTGCAATGAACATGTACTTGGAGCCCTCAAATCGAAATTTGGACAGTGGACTAGGCTCCAAGCACACAAACAGTCAAACATTCACACGGATACATAATCGAACATCCCCCACACTTAAGCACGACATTGTCCTCAATGGAGGAAAGATAAGGAGGGTAGAACGAAGTTACCAGATCCAGGGTGAATGATGGTGGACGGGGCAGGCGGCGTATTCCAGGAGGAGAGAATGGTCAGACCACAAACACCACACAAAATCTCACAAAGGTTGAATTATTGACTCTAAAATCAAATAACAAAACTGACTCAACCGATGAGAAAAAGAGAAAGAAATGCAAACCGACTGGTTGGGTTGCCTCCCAACAAGCGCTTCTTTCACGTCATGAGCCGGACGATGGCTCCTAAGTTTCGGTCCACCCCAAAACCTCCTTGAAGTTGAGGTTCTCGTCGATGAGGTGGAGTCTCAAGTCACGAGCATGTGGTATGACAGGTGATGGAAGCTCGTGCACTTGATGCAGATAACGTCTCCACCCTCGAGACATCTTCTTCTCTTCTCTCGTCTCATTGCCCCAAACCAGATATGACAGCATCGATTGACCACCATCGCGTCCACCAAGAGGGACCGATGTTGATGTGGCCTTGGTCTGGCAAAGAGACACTGCAAATGGGTCCTTGCTAAGCAGTTCCTCGAAGTTTGGTGGAGATATCAAATGTAACTCATGGCCGGTGCAAGCCTCTTCCACCTCAACTTCGTCCTCAGCCTGGACGCCAATTGCTTCTTCAACCTCCCTTCCTTCTTCATGTGGTATCACCCCTGGGAAATGATCAAGAACTCCTCCAGCTTCACTTTCGTCATCCTCCACAACTTCTTTCTGCACCCTTTCTTGCTCTTCTTCTTCTAGCACGGATTGGAGAGCAAGTTGCCAAGCAATTTCTTTCATGAGATCTTCTCGCATCTCCTCACTCATGCCCGCCTCTTCAAAGCTCAGTTTGGGGTGTAGGAAGGTGTGGTTGGCTATGACAGGACATTCCTGATCATGATCATCACGGGAGCTCTCCGTGACATCTTTAGTGTGCTCCACAATGTCCTTGTAGCCTTCTTCTTCCTCCTCCTCTTCTAGTATGGTAGTAGAAGGGTGATCTGGATCAAGTTGTGCCCAAGATCTCTCAAGATCATCGACGCTCTTCTTAAGGCTCAGGAGGATCTCCTCTGTTTCACGATAGGCCTGGACACAATGATCCATCCTGGAGCATGTTCTATCACAGTCTCGAGCAAACTGCTCCATGAGAAGTCTCAATTCATAGTGTGGATCTGGCTGTGGAGTGTAGCATGGCTCTGCAGAATGGCCCGTGAAGGCCGCCATGGGTAACTCCAGCTCCAATGGCCCCTCTGGTTGTGGGAAATATTCTTCTTGGTAATTAGGTTGTTCTTGATAAGGCCAGGGGTCCGGTTGTTCTCCGTAGTAAGGGGGTTGGTACTGGAACCCGAATCCATATTCTTCTCCTCCTTGATTGCTCCAGGGAGTCTCGGGGTAATACCACTCGGGTGGTGGTGGATACCCCCAATTGTTGGAGAAGCCATGAGGATCCATGATTCAGATCTGCACCAACAAAAACAAAAACACCGAAGTGAAAAGCAAGGGTGGAAAAGAAAAGAAAAACGCTAAAGTAACAAACTTCTGCCTTTCCTAATACTCTAGAAAGTTCCCCGGCAACGGCGCCAAAAACTTGACTCGCTATGACACAACACCTAACAATGGCCAAGTGTAACCAATGGAAGGGACTGCAGTATAGTGGCTCAAGTGATAAATATCGAATCCACGGGTCTCTAGAGTTACTATTACTCAGCTTCAGTTTATTATTTAGCAAACCATATTAAGATGAAAGAACTAAAACTACTCTAGCAAACTACAGTTAAAGTTAATCTAATTACAGGTTGGGAACTCACTTAGGTATGATTCCCCCTAGCCACTAGCCAGACTAACGATTGATGATTTCTAACTTGTTTCACTTTCATTCACAATGCGGAGAATCCTTGACTAGACCTTGAGTCTCGACTAAAGGAACAAGGCCCTCTTGAGTCAATTGCCTAGAGGGACGTATCCTTCTCTAGAACAACTGATCAAGGCGTTCTGAACTAGACTCCCTCTATCGAAAGAGGTTCTCAATCGATACAAAGCAGTGAATCAACCCTCGACTAAAGCAATCGATCCACTACTATCAATCTATGGTGCTCTATTGACCTAATCAGGTATTCCCTCTCATAGGATCAAAGCAGAATCAATAATCTTGACTAAAGCAGAATTGAATCATGAAAACATGCATAGATTGAATATGAACTCAAGATTATCAAGTCAGAGTAATCATACAATCATCCAATCAAACAAACATAGCTAGGGTTCCTCAAAACCTAAGTGAAGGGAAGTTACTCCATAGAGAAGAGAGAGACTGCAGTAAGAATCTTCAGATGATCAGTCTTCAAGTCCGGGCTTGTTCCTCGAGCTTCCAAGGCAAAGAAATCCTCCAATTCCACTCCAAGAATGCCCTCAAATCGCCCTCTCTCTCTTTGGTTCGTCCCTAGGGTGTTTGGGATCCAAAGCCCAGCTCTCCCTCTGCAAAAACGCACAAAACAGGCTTTTAACAGCCTGCGTTCGCGATCCCCGGTCAAAATACCG